AAGGGCCATAAGAAGCGGTGAATTCACGTCTTTCCCACAGTGCCCACTTCTTTGGCCGGATATTGGAACGGTTCGTCATCTCTTCGTCGCCAGTATTTTTTCCTGCATGTAAGTGTGTTGTATACGTACTTTTTTCCATCCGCCGTTTGGCACCATACTTCGACACAATGTTTAGCCTTGAACTGTCGAACAAACCGTGGATCCCATAGCTCTGATGCAATTCCGAGGTCCTTGCAGCATCGCATCAGAGCGTTGGATTTTGCCCCTTCGTTGGCCGTGGGGACACCGTTGGGACGAAAGAATTCTTGCTCGCCCCGTGCCGTCGACACAAAGCGGCCTAAACATATTAAAGTCCACTCACGACTCAAAATGCCTTGAGCTATTTCAGGCTCTCCTTGGGGCTTGAGACCCCATCCACCTGGGCCAAAGGCACGATTTAAGATTCGCCTGTACTTGATTTCAGGCAGGTACAGGAGCCCATCCGGCTTGATTTCCACATCGTCTTTCTGGATCGGTTCGCACAGAACTTGCGCTACATGAGATGGAAACGGGCGAAGTCCGATACCTTCGTAGCCTGGGAGGCATTCCATTTGAGGCACAGAGTTCATGTGCTCTGGTGCATTTGACAGATTATCTTTGCTAGATTGTATTGGCGGCTGCACAGTCGCGTTTGCTGGTTTGGGTGTGCGCACCGAGGATGCAGAGGTCATGCGATCTGCCCACGAAGATACATTCGCGGACGATCTCTGCGTAGAAAGGGAAAAAGAACGCAATGGATTGCGCTTGAATAGGCTATGCCGTGCAGCGCGTACCGTAGAAAGCATCATGAGCACACGATCCAAGGCCGCGCGTGTCGCGCTAATCAAATGGCGCCGAGGAGCGCTTCTGGCATGTCCTTTGCTCACGTGATAGTGTAGGCTCAAGGGCCGACCGTGAAAACTCCGGCGAGTCTAAACGTGTCGAATTCTTGCCGAACCTGCCACCTTACGTCTGTAGGTAAGTCGTATACGAAAAGGTGCCAGTCCAAAGCAGAAAGCTCTGGTCTGTCGTGTAGGTACTTTGGTTCAATATGAGTGGGCAGCCACAAGACTCTGTACCTCGCGTCAGAATTGAAGAGGAGCTCGTGGAACAGCCGACCTCAACTTGGCATGATGAGGAGGTGAAAGCGGATTATGAGTCCATTGACAGTAACATCCTTTTCGCCAAGGAGGTGGGTGTGTCTGTGGACTACAGTCGACAAATTGCCCTTGTGAACAAGATCATCCACGAGGACATTGGCTTTGGTCCATTTCAAATCAAGCTGACCCTTCTTGCTGGATTCGGCTGGTTGGCTGATAATATCTGGTTCGAGGTATTGAGTATGACTCTGACACTCGTTAAAGAAGAATGGAATCTGGGAGAGAGGGAGCACTCCCCTAAGTGGGCAACCTTCTCGCTTTACTCTGGTCTCTTGATAGGCTCCCTCGCATGGGGCTTCCTATCGGACGTCATCGGCCGGCGTCCCTCCTGGAACCTCACCTTGTTTATATCTGCTGCTTTTGGTATTGCGGTTGGCGCAGCGCCCAGCTTTCCTGTCATGTGTGTGTTGCTTGGACTGCTTGGACTGGGCCTGGGAGGAAATTTACCTGTCGACGGTGCTATGCTCATTGAGTACATTCCCGGCCCACAACAGTGGATTCTCACGTTCCTTTCTCTCTTTTGGTGTATCGGTCAACTATATGCTGCTCTTATTTCTTGGGCATTTATTACCAATTACTACTGTGAAGACAGTATCAACTGGAAGGGTAGTGATAATGATAAGCCTCCTTGTCTTAAAACTGACAACTGGGGGTGGCGGTACTCTTGGTTCTTGCTAGGTGGTACAGTGATGCTCATGTTTATCATTCGCTTTCTGGTGTATCCTGTGCCTGAGTCGCCCAAGTTCTTGTTAGCAGCTGGTCGCGAGGAGGAGGCATACGAGGTGCTTTTGTTTATCGCTAAGGAAAACAAGAAGAAACTACATATTACCTTTGAACAGCTGCGTGATGCGAAATATAAGCCCACCGCCTATGATACCATGAACACGGTCCACGCAGTGGTAGAATCTGATTCACCCAAAGAAAACCCAAAGTCTCAAATCCAGTATGGATCTATATATACCAGATGGATGCAACGCAGCTGGTATATAAGTGGTTTGCGCCCAGATAATATTCGACGCACACTTAAGCACATCGACCGTTCACCCCTGTCAGCTTTGTTTGCGTCGCGAAAAATGGCCCGGAACACGATCTTTATCACGCTATGTTGGGGTTTGATTGGCCTTGCATACCCACTGTACAATTCATTCATTGCAACGTACCTGGCCCAAATAAATGATGCCTCGGATGATGCCGAGAGTCTGTCAAGGCAATATCGTGATTTGGTGATCATGTCTGTATGTGGTATTCCTGGTAGTTTCGTCGCTGCCGCTGGAGTAGAAATTCCACGTATTGGGCGCCGCGGTACCATGGCCTTTTTTACCATGCTCACAGGCTTGTTTCTGTTCTTGTTTACGACTGCAAATAATTCCTCCGCCATTCTAGGTTGGAACTGCGCTGTAAACCTGACCCAAAATGCCATGTATGCGGTGCTTTATGCTATCACATATGAGGTTTTTCCAGCCCCCCAGCGTGGCACGGGTGATGGCCTGTCTATGAGTGTTCAACGTGTTTTTGGTATTGTGGCTACGATTGTGGCCGTCTACGCCTCACAGAATGGTTTCAAGCCGCCCATTTATGTGTCCGCTTCTGCGTTTATTGCCACTTCAGGTTTAATGTTGCTGCTTCCGTATGAACCCCGGGGCACCACGGCTATTTGAATGAGATACTTGTAAGTAGACGTCGCCATAGCAATGTACTATAGAGATTTTGGAGTCCAATGGCGTTTCCAACACCCAAGTATGTGCCGAGCACACCATCCTGATGAAATTTCACGTGATCTTTAGGATATGGCCACCCCGTTTCGCTTGTGGCGCCACTGCTGTCACCGGTTCGTTCTCCATCATGATGGCGTTGTTCTCGCAAGGAATGCGCGTTGCAACTATGCCCAAGCGCATGGGACATATACAGCTCTTTTCATCTTCTGCTCGCATTTTGAATGCTGTACACAAGGTAGTAGTTGTGGGTGGTGGTACGGCCGGCCTAAGTGTGGCCCACCAGCTTCTCAACAGCGGCAAGTTTGCTCAAGATGAGATTGCTATCGTCGAGCCATCCAACTTCCATGACTACCAGCCCGGATGGACGCTTGTGGGTGGTGGTCTCAAGACGCGCGAAAACTTGCGCCGTCGGGAAGACTCGCTCGTCGACTCTAAAATCCAACTCTACAAGGATGCGGTGACGACCATGTCGCCTGAACAAAACCAGGTGATGATGGCATCGGGTGAAAAGCTCGAATACGATCACCTTGTCATTGCTTCAGGATACAGCATAACACTCGACTCCATAAAGGGTCTTCGCGAGGCCCTGTACAACCCCGAGTCGTCTGTGGCATCTATTTACACCTACGACACAGTGGAGCAGGTGTTCCCCAAGTTGAACAAAGTTAAAGAAGGTGAAGCCATTTTTACCCAGCCTTCCTCGCCCATCAAGTGTGCTGGTGCGCCGCAGAAGATCATGTGGCTTGCCCTTAACCACTGGCAAAATGCTGGCCTTTACAAGAACGACTCCTCCTCTCCGATCAAGATCACTTTTGCTCAAGGCATGCCAACCATGTTTAGCGTGCCTCACTACAGTAAGGTTCTTGATGAACTGCGCGAGGAGCGCGGCGTGACCGGCCTGTTCCAACACAATCTTGTAGCGATTGAGGACGACGCTAAGACGGCTGTCTTCCAGCGTCCCAATGGCGAACAGGTCAAGAAGTCGTTCGACTTTATGCACGTTGTTCCTACAATGAGCCCCCCCGAGTTTTTGAAGAAGTCCTCACTTGCTAACAGCGGCGGCTACGCCGAAGTGGACCAGGGAACACTGCGACACGTCAAGTACAACAATGTGTGGTCGTTGGGCGACTCAAGCTCGCTGCCGACCAGTAAGACGGCCGCTGCTATCACGGGACAGTCACCTGTGCTGGTAGCCAACCTTCTGAGTGCGCTCGAGAACAAAGAGCCCATTGCTACGTACGACGGTTACACATCATGCCCTCTTATCACCGAGTATGGCAAGGTCCTGCTTGCTGAGTTCAAGTATGGTCTCCAGCTCAAAGAAACCTTTTCCAAATATGGTCTTGATCAGTCCAAGCCTCAGCGTGTCTTTTACTATCTCAAGAAAGACTTCTTCCCCTGGGTGTATTACAACAGCATGGTCAAGGGCAAGTGGGCTGGTCCAAAGGGCTTCATGGGCAGTATTCGTTCTTTTTCCACAAGCGCTCGTAATATGCGCAACACGCCTGTTCGTCATCCTCGTGATCCACTGGACACCAGCGCCTACGCTACGCGCTTTCCTCTAACATCGGGTGAGACTTTTGTGGTGCGTCCCCCACCTTCGCAAGATTCTAGCCGTATGAATGTGGAAGCGTCACAGGCCCTTTTTGATGCAGCTGCTCCCCTATCAGACGAGCGCCTTGACAGTCTACCCCCCGCGCTAGCCAAGCATCATCGCCAAGCTCGTGCCGCCACTAACCAGGTGACCAATGACCAAATCGCACAAATGCAAATGCTGCGTAATCAAGACCCATACAAGAACACTGCGGGCCACCTTGCTAAGGAATATGGCTGCTCACCCACTTTCGTTAGCATTGTGGCTCCCGCCCCAAAAAGTGTTCGTCAGGCTCGTGAAGCCGAGAACGACCTTAAGAAAGCCACGTGGGGTATGAACAAGCGCATTTCGCGCGCACAGCGTGCAGAGCGTCGTGCCTTGTGGTAGATAATCAGAGATTCCGTAATTCCCATGAAAGGAGCAAAAGTATCTCGCATTCGTGACGCAACGGAGAAGATCCTCATGGATAGCACTGTATTAGTATCTCAATTGGGCACCAACGTCCAAGCTTTCGGCCCAATAGTATAGTCGTATTATACTCCCTTCGGGAAAGTCTCGACACCCTCAGGGGAGCCCTGAGCACTGGGAGAGGTCCCGGGTTCAATTCCCGGTTGGGCCCTTTTTGTTTTGTGATTTATGCAATGTCGTCGGAGTTCCTTGGCAGATCGGAGTAAGATGGTCAAGCCCAGATATGACATTTTTCACGGAGTCGTGTTCTGACGTCATCAGCTAATTTATTGTGCATGAGTGGCAAAAAACGTGAGTAAAATGTCTTGGCGTCAATACTTTGACAGGTCCGAGCGGAATTATCGGAGGTGAATTGCCAGCAGATGTGAGCTAATGGGAGTTTGAAGAGTAGCTGAATTACAGTGCGTTTGCTGCTATTTGGCAATACTTGACAGGAAATCATGTTTTTTAAACCGCTAAACGTATAAACAATGTTACATATTGAACAGGGAAAAGGGAGAGGGCATGAATTGACACATTCTTGCAGCAGAGGGTGAGAGTTGTGAGTCATAGGCATGGAATATTACTTTACATCGTACTCAAAACGCTGGCTGGATACTCCAGTATCCGTGAAAGCCCAACGATCAATAGTATCAATACCCGTCGGATTCTCCATAGAAATGTCACATGCGACACATGTTTTACAGGTGGGGGCATCACTGAGTTCAGCTTGGTTATATTTCGAGTTATGTCCCAAGCACCCTTTACAGCGACATGGCCCGATGCATTGGCACTCGGGTGTATAGGCTCGAGACATGTCGGCAGCTTTGGCTAACAACTTCATCGATCGGTCGACATCATCTTGCACCTTGACAGATGGTGTAACACAGCATGAATTTGAAGACTGTTCCTTGGGCAATTTGGGAGCAATGTTTGCAAAATTCTCTTTGTAACAACTAGTAATAGGCTCGAGCTTTTGATCATCATAAGGGGATCTGCAACAAACACATATAGTGCCATCTTCACACTTGCAAGGATTAAGTAAGAATTCGAAGGAAAGGGGTCCCTGTTTACAAGACGAAGCACGGCTGGATAAATCGATCGGCGTGAACGAATTGCTAACACGGCGTTTCATCGGACGCTCCTCGCTTGGCTCAGCAGTTTTCTTTTCCTTCTTTTTACAATCACAACGCGTGTGTCTACCGGTAAGCAGCCTACGCTCTCGGCACTCTTGGCATTGTGATAGGGGCCGGCCACGACGTTTAACCACCAAAAGGGGACCCTTGGATCCATCCTGGTGCTTACAAGAAGATGCCCTGTGGCCTTGAATACAAGTAGCACAAGCAAGCTTGAGAGCTTTGCCACCCTCTGGTGCTATTTTGCGAGTCGGGACAGCCGACATTTTCCAAAAATTGTGTGAGATTTGGAAGGTAATGGGTGAAGACCTTTGAGTAGTTTCCGATCTTGGCATAATATATGCTATTGTAAATGCAGCACAAGCCTTGGCACCCGCAATATTCCCTCGAAGCACCAATGTTGTTGGCTCGTTACACATGACATTTTGTCCACTGGTCACGTGATATAGGGACCCTGTGGTTCATTACAAACTTCAGTCGCCATCGGACTCCGTAAGCCAGCGGTGAGACTGCAGATGTCAATCGAGGGACGTGCACCGCGTATAAAGAACCGAGCGCCTGCTCCGCTGCAGATCACTGCGGAGCAGCTGCTGCGTGAAGCGCAAGAGAGACAGATTGCGCCGAAGCGCAAAGCCCCTCGACTCCGTATTGAAAGCTATGAAGAGCTGGAAGATTATCGTGCGAGAAAGCGCACTGAGTTTGAGGATGCGATCCGTCGTTTGCGAGGAAACATGACCGCATGGATACGTTATGCAACTTGGGAAGCAACCCAGGGTCAGATGGACAGAGCACGGTCGGTATTTGAGCGAGCGCTTGACGTGAACCCGCACCATATACCCCTCTGGCTCCGATACACGGAGCAAGAACTGAAAATGCGCAATATTAATCATGCGCGCAATTTGTTTGACCGGGCTGTTTCTATCTTGCCGAGAATAGACCAACTGTGGTACAAGTATGTGCATGTGGAAGAGCTGCTTGGTAATGTGAGCGGCACACGAGAAATATTCGAGCGTTGGATGGAATGGGAGCCTGATGAGCGTGCGTGGAATGCTTATATTGCATTTGAAATGCGTTATCATGAGTTTGATAAAGCGAGTGCCGTTTGGGAGCGTGCTGTGACCTGCCATCCTGAACCTAAACAATGGATCAAATGGGCCAAGTATGAAGAAGACCGGGATAGTCTTGACAAGGCCCGTCAAGTGTTTCATATGGCCCTTGACTTTTATGGTGAGGAGGAAGAAGCGCTAGAACGTGCGCAAACCTTATTCACTGCCTTTGCTAAAATGGAGATACGTCAAGGCGAGTATGACCGGGCTCGTATGATCTACAAGTACGCTCTTGAAAGGATCCCCCGTGCCAAAAGCGAAGGCATTTATACCAGTTATACCAAATTTGAGAAGCAGTTTGGAAACATGAAAGGAGTGGAAGATACAGTTACTCAGAAGCGGCGCCTGCAATATGAAGAAGAAATCGAGGAGGCTGATGGTACAAGCAATTACGACACATGGTTCGATTACGCTCGCTTAGAGGAAGAGTATTATCGGTCTTTGTTGGAGGAGGATGCACCAGCCGCGACTCTCGAATCGGCATGCGACAAGGTGCGCAATGTGTATGAGCGTGCATTGAAGTTGGTTCCGCCAGCACCTGAGAAGCGATTGTGGCGTCGATATATTTACTTATGGCTTCGATATGCTCTATTTGAAGAATTAGATGCTCAAGACTTGGATCGGGCGAAAAAGGTGTATGCGTCAGGTCTTTCTCTCGTGCCGCATCAAGAATTCACCTTTGCTAAATTGTGGCTTAACTATGCCAAGTTTGAAATTCGGCGTTTAGACCTTCCACTCGCACGAAAGCTTTTAGGCACAGCTATTGGTGTGTCTCCCAAGCCAAAGCTTTTTAAAGGCTACATTGAGCTAGAGCTGGAGTTGAAAGAATTTGATCGTGCTCGAAAACTGTACGAAAAATGGCTTGAATGGGATGCCGGTAATGCAGCTACTTGGGTCAAGTTTGCCGAGTTGGAGCAGAATTTGTTCGACTTGGATCGAGCTCGTGCAATCTACGAGTTGGGCATTAGTCAGGCAGAGTCTGATTCGGTGGGCATGGATATGCCCGAGGTCCTGTGGAAGGCATATATTGACTTTGAGTTTTCTGAACGCGAGTTGGAACGTGTGGATGCATTGTACGAACGCCTGCTGGAAAAGACGAATCATGTCAAGGTATGGATCAGCTATGCATTGAATAAAATGGCTGCTGCTCTTGCTTTGGAAGAGGATGAGGATGCTGAAGCTGAAGAAGAGGGCCTCGAAATCGTCCTGACAGAGGAAAAGCAAGCGCAGCGAGCCGCGGTACATCATGAGGCAGCGAATCAGACGCGTCAGGTGTTTGAACGTGGCTATAAAAGCTTGAAAAAAGAAGGCCTGAAAGAAGAACGTGTTGTTCTTTTGGAAGCGTGGAAGGCGTTCGAGTCTGAGCATGGTGATCAGACAAGTCTGGACACAGTGCAAGCCAGGATGCCACGCATAACAAAACAGCGTCGCCCTGTACTAAATGGTGCTGAAGGTACCATGGAAGAATATTACGATCTTACCTTCCCTGAGGATGAAGAGCAGCACAAGCCATCCAACAAATTGCTCCAGATGGCTCGTGCTTGGCATGCACAGCGAACAGCCTCCGAAGCTTCGTAGTTACGTATACCACATGTGGAGAATTTTACCGCGTGCTTCCCAAAATCTGTTCCACATGACGTCGACAGAAGAGCCGGCGACATGGCTGGAGCACGCGTCGGGTGCTTTGGATAGAGAATATATTTGTATGCCCGTGGGAGAATGTAAGCCATGTCCTGAGGATCATGTACGTGACGATTGTTACACTGACCATGGTTTTAGTTGGCGTACCCGTACTGTCGACCCTACAACAATCGACAACCTGTGGAATGTCTGCACACAACTACAGGGGCCCAAGTACCAGGATGGAGTGCTTGTGGAAAGTTTATACATGCAGAAGTGTATAAGTATACACAGTATGTGGTACGTGTGACTAGACCTGACTATCTCCAGCTCATCAACGTTCTGATTGTGGTGCTAGCCCTTTCTGTCTACATATGGCGACAGGTTTACCAAACACGCAAGTATGAGGGAATGTTGTATCAACGCGTTCACGGGCGCTCTACTCTACGGCGATCACGCGGATAGCAGATCAGTGAAGCAAAACAGAGGACGCGGCATTTGCAACCAATCTCTATATGTGTATTTATAAATGACAGTGAATGAGTCAATCGACTTAATTAAAGGAAAGAAACAGACGACATAATTTGACCCCAAGCCCATAGTGAAAACCAGAGAAGGAAGCTGAAAAGGATGGGAATGGCGACATTGTCGTCCAAACCACCAAGCTCAAGCGCTTCAGTCATAGCAGCAATCAAGCCACATAAGGTGAACATTAAAATAGGAGGCATTGCAGGTATCCGAGGCCGTGTTAGGTTCCTCAATCTTTCTGCAAAATTAGAGTCAGTGACGGCAAAGCCACGGGCAAAGCCGCGCCAGCCGGTGTGAAGTGCGTCAGGCATTAGAGCAGTGCCGAACATGGCATTCGAGCCAGGCTCCCAGGACAGACCCGACGCACGCTCACCTGCCTTGGCAATGCCGGCACCCCAAAACAAGTAAGCAATCAATGAGCCAACCGCCCATGCAGCAAGGAAGCCTGCTAGCGATTTGCGGCGTGCAAAAATCCCACCCGGGAGTGCCGGTGTACATTTTCCGAACATGCGTCCAAATGTGGATGCGGCCGGATCACACCATGAAAGTACAATAATCGACACACTAGCAATATCTTCAGGGAAAAAATGCAAGCTGGTCATGACACCGACGAGGTACCACACGACGCCATTAACTCGCTCTTTCTCACTTTCACGCATCAATATACTTAAAAAGCTTTCGAAGAAATGCTCAAACGTGGGTGAATTGAGTCGTAGTAGGTCAGCCGAAGCCACAACAAGGAAAATGTTAAATAGCGTCCGGATGATAACCTCGACATTGAC